TTTTTTATATTATTTATGTTTATCATATAATATGTTAAAATTTTTTAGTTAAATATTTAATGGTTTACAGTGATATTTAAAAATATGTTAAATAGTTAATAGTTACAGTTTATGTTAAAAGTTTAAATTTAAAATTTATTCGAAAGTTGTATTCGAATAGTTCTTGAAGATGGCCTATTGTAATTGGGCTGAAAACGTTTGAATTTAAAATAATAATAAGCTCAGCAAAAGTTTGGTGTTTTGTTTATATCAGAAAGTAGCTTTAACTTTACCGAAGTCAAATCCATGTACTACAACTTTAGAACGATTAATTAATTTTAATAAAAAAATCCCATTAAAAACAATTAAGCCTTAATCGAGCCTTATCAAAGGCTAACTAAAATCGCGATAAAAGTTTTTTGCGCGGGTAAAAATTTTTGAAAAAATTTGGAGACTTAAAAAACATTCCAAAAATCATAAAAAAAACAAAATAAATTTGAGGGCCGAAAGGACCGCATTTTATTAAACTTAAATTGTCAAATATATCACAGGTGATTAACGACATACACAGGTTAATTGTAATATTTTTTAGATGTTTGTGATTTCATCTCGAGTTATTACTTTTAATTTCATTTTTCATTAGTTTCCACGAACTGGCAGTAGTAATGGTGACATTATTGCTGGTTGCGAGTTGGATGTTTCGAAGTCCGAATTTTATGCGAGGTTGGGCCTCTGTATTATGCTCTAACATGTCTGTAAATTTTTAATTCATTTTTTCCACAATGCTCACTTGTTGCAATGCGTTTGAATCATTATTTTGAATTGCAGAAAAATTAGTAACTCTACTCCGGCCATGGCAGCTTCCATTTTGATGTTTATTATTCCTGCAAATCCTTTTCAACTCGATTGGAGGAAGAGGCTTCTCAACTGGAAAACTGCTCAGAAGAAAGTAGCGTGGGGTATATTGTTAATTTTTGGTGGAGGATTTGCCATAGCAGAAGGAGCCAAGGTCGTCGATTATTTAATTTGTTTAATAATATTAAAAATAAAATGTAATTAAAAATAAATCATTACAGAAGTCGAAACTGACAAACTGGATTGCTCTTCAGTTGGCATACTTACCACCTTTGTCGCCTGTGGTAATTGTAAGCTTTCTTTGTATTATGACTTCCATTCTGACAGAAGTGATGACCAACAGCTCAACTGCCACTCTTCTCCTTCCCGTAGCCAACAAACTGGTATATATCAATAATAAGTATATTTTTTTAAATTTCGGTTTACTTTCATTTTTAAAACAAACTCCATGACAGAAAGTTGAAATATATCTCTATTGAATAAGCTAACAATACACGGAAAGGATTTCATTTAACAGTTACAAAACTAATATTATAACTTAAACGATTATATTTGTTTATACAAGATAATTCGACGTCTCTATAGGCCTATATCTAAAGGGACGTACAATATTTACAATGCTTCTGTGTGCATTACATCATACATATTAAGATGTATTTGTTTTTGTCAATTCACGTTTATTTTATCGATATTGATCGTATTCTAGGACTTGATTCCATAATAAAGCGAATTATATGCTTACGTGTCTTTGAATCACTTTGTATATATTAAACTCTGTATCCCCGAATAACGTTATAACGTTAAACATATATTTTACAATATCTGCTTAATCTTTGTTAAACTCACAGTAAACTAGCCTTGAAAGGTAATGAATAGGATTACCTTTATTAATTTAGATTAGGCAACTGAGCGAAGAAAGATATTTTTTGATTGTTTCCTCAATTAATCATGTAGGAGAACCTTCTTTTAATCTCTGAAAGTTCAGGTTTCATTGCTTGACATGTAATGTAAGGATTGTTTTTGTTTTCGTGAAAATTTATTTTATAAAACTTTGTCTTCTCTAACATTTATGATTGAATTTAATGAAAATTCGGTTTGTTAACAAAATTAATTAATAAAGTAAACTGATTTTAGGCTATTGTGATTAAAGTACATCCGTTATACTTGATGATGCCTTTAGCAATATGCGCTTCGTTTTCGTTTATGCTACCGATAGGAAGTCCTTCTAGCGCAATTGCTTATGAAACGGGTAATATGAAGATTATCGACTTGGTACGCTTAATAAGTTATTTATTATTTTTAGTTTTATGACTTATCGATACTAAATACGTGAATATTAATTGATAAATTACAGGTGAAACCAGGAATATTCCTTAACATCGTATGCTGCGCAATTCAGATTTGTTCAATAAGCACTTACGGATACTACGTTTTCGATCTGCGAGTGCCAAATGTCAACAGAACAGAAATTGTTAATAACTATACATATATAGACAAATAAAGAATATCTTAGAATAGATTCTTAAGTATTTTACATTTTATACAAGTATGCATTCGCTACATCTGTGAAAAAATCCATTCTTTAAAAGAATAGTAAAAAGTGAAAGTATAGAAGTATATACACAGACTTGATGGGTTCCATATGGAAGATCTTTAGATAGATAGAACTGGAACAAAATGAAATTGTTAAAATTGTTATTTTGTTTGAATTTTCTATAATCTAGAACTAGTACACAATTTCTCTCTTTTCAGAGCTCTAAAACAAACCGAAAATTAATTCCCTAGTATTCAGATATGGATTTTTCGATAAGAACTTATTGTAAGAACTATGTTTTGTATATCGCTAAATAGAAGTATTAAACAAATTTCATAGTCTTCATTGCGACGAATAGTTCTTGTAAGAATGCCGATTGGGGGAGATTTTTATTCCCTACCGTCGGGATGGTCTAAGGCAGTGGTTCTTAACCTTTTAGTGATGAGGGACCATTTATCAAAATTTTTGTCTTGTCATGGACCACGAGCTGTTTGGCAGTAACATAGGTTCTTATAAAGTTGTTCTATAAATTAAACACGTAGAAAATTATTCGAAATTAAGAGTATTATATTATTTGCGAAAGTGTTACATTAATTACATTATTTTAGTGCGATTTTTGTGACTGCATGCTGTTTACCAACTGCTGAATTCTTGGTTCAGTGCTACTCAAAGGAAATGCATGTCGGCACTGCCATCCAACCGATTTCGATGTTTATTTTTAATTATCAAAAGCACTGAGAATCCTTGCTCGCATAAATGTGGTTGAAAATAAAGTTAGGCACTGTAAAGCAATTTCTCGAATTTTAGGGGAAGCAATAGCTTTTCGGCTCCAAAAATCTTTAAGATTAATTCCTGTCTCGAATGTATCTGTGAGAGACCGAACTTGAAAAGAAAATTTTATTCAAAAATTTCGTCCGAAAAAAAAAGATCGCTACGGATATGATTATATCCTTTCCCACGGACTTACTTCCCTGTTTGAGTGACACATCGAATGTGTCACTAGGAATCAAACGCGAAAAATCGCCATTGGATGTGAAGAACGATTTTACCAAAAAAAAGGACAAGAATTGCGAGGGGGAGGACCCCCAAATAAAGGAGAAGGTTCGATGACGCGACAGGGAGTTCGCCCGACAGAAGAGTTCGCGTCCTCGAAGGTTGATCGTGTGTGTACACTCGGATACATTTTACCGCCGATGCTCCTCCAATAGCCAGTGATCAGAAGCTTAACCGCCGATGAGTCCAAGTACCCACCAAGAACATGTCTTCACCGGAAAAAGGACCCAATTCAAGAAAGCGATCTTCAGGTAAATACCATGCGCGAACAATTGTAAACTCTCTCTCTACAAGCATAAGTGTAACTAGTTTAGGCCTATATAATCAATAAACGGATATTAATTTCTATAATCGAATTGTAAAGCGCACTTCTTTAGCTTAATTGGTCTCCATCCCGAGTCCAAGAGTCCACATACGCGACTGCTCGCGTGTAAATTCGAACGTAACGGTCTCTGTGTCTACCCAGAAGACACAGTGGTGTCAGTCCTGATAAATTTGTCATTGCCGTCTTCGCCGACGCAATGTCTACCCTTCGGTCCTGTGATGCCGAAGTATAGAGGGGACCCTTCGGCATTGTCACATATCCTTGCAGTTACTATCATGTTGCATTTCAATTAACTCTTCTTGTATTTCATCCGGCACCTCAGAAATGTTGATTATGAAAGGATTGCAAATCAGTTTCCGAATACCTTTGTCCTTGCAGTCAGGAAAATAGCGATTGAATTCATTTTTCAAGCTTTGCAAATGGAATGTAATTTTCTTTTGTATTTGTCTTTTAATCTCAGCACACTGTCAAACAATAATTGGGTTCAATGTATCAAACGCAGAAAAATTCTCTCTTTCGACTTTGCTGATCCATTGGTCGATTTTAGCAATAAACGTACTGATTTTATCTTCAAATGCAAATTTATTGCTAGTGACTTCCAGTTTCATATTTTTCTGACCGCGTACCATACCCTAGCCCAGTCCGCTATCGGCTCTAACCTTGACGTACTGCGCATTGTCATCAACGCGTCGTCATTTATTTAATAAATTTGGTATAACTTTCGCGGACCACTTCGGATGCTTTCAGGGACCACCAGTAGTCCACGGACCACAGGTTAAGAACCACTAGTCTAAGGTCTACGCGTATGTGGGTGGCGGTTTTATCAGGCAGCAAAAGACAAGTGTTTTACAGAGGCAAACCGTGTATTCAGGGTTTATTCTCGAGCGAAAATGCTTACAAAAATTTTTCCGTCGGAAAGGTTTTTAGATAGATGCGATCTGGTCCTGTGTTGTAGGAACTTTCGACGGCGATCCGGTCCAGCGTGGTAGGGGCCTCTGGACAGTGTTGAGCAGAAAGTTCGAAGACTCGAAAGTCGATGCACAAAAGATGAAAAGAGGCATGAAAAAAAAAACGGAGATACACGAACACAACAGAAGTCTAGTGGAAGTCTTAGTGGAAGCTTAGTGGAAGTCCCGTTGTCCTTGGAATTGGTGCTTTTATCCGTTTTTCGATGTTGGCTTTTTGCTAATTGGACAGACTTTACATCATCGTTTTTTAATTGGTCTTCCACCTGTCTCCAGGTGTAAATGGAGCTTCGTAAAGTTCGCGGGAAAGGTCGGCTGGAGATGGTTTATCCGACACCATCTTTTAGACTCTGATCGCGTTTAATTGTTAACTATGACACCTACGCTCATTTTGATATTTTTTCTAGTTTCGGTTTGCTTTCTAAACTGCGTCTTAACTTTAATATTTTAAATTTTCTTCTTTTATATTTAAAATTTTGTTTTTCCCGTTATTTTTTATGAGCGCTGATGTCAAAGTCCGGTGTCGTCGTTTCGACACTTATATAATTTGCTTTCTTGACGATTTAACTTAACAAATTTTTTTCATATCTTTCCTTTTGGGGGGCTATTTCCGGGGCCTCACATTCTGGCTTAGGTCTTAAGATCGTTCAAAATATGCGTATTTGTCTAGCACAACTTGTTTACTTTTTGAATGGACTCACAAAAATTGCACAATAAAATGATATTTATTGATTTAAATTCCCTTAAATCATTCAGGCAATACGATTCGAATTTCCCTTGAACCCGATTCACTAAACAAGATGGCGACAACAGTCGAAGACGACTCACCGAAAAAACGCCCTCTAACAATAAAAATAAAATATAAATTTTCCGAATTATAGAGGAAGGTGGTGCAAGATGGTGTCATGGGGTAAAACAGGGACGTCTATTTATTTGTTGTTAATGTGATTTTATCTAGCTATTATTTGGGGAACTAAATGTCAACTTCAAAAGGGATCACGGGACGAGACAACGTTCGAATCGCTCTCTTTGTTTGGAAATAAGACTTTTTTTATGTTTCAGCAATACTTCATCTAATTTTACGCCCGCTAAAAAGTTTCTACAAAGTAAGTATCATTGTGAAATTTGACATTACTTTTTACATGAAGATATTATGATATTCGAAGTAACCTTTAAAACTGTAATTGTTTAGTTCTGAAATGAAATTTACCCGTGTTTGCGGTCAGTATGAAAAGTAAGTATGATGGGGTACCCGTCTAGCCCCAGGTTGACCATGAATATGGCCTGTGAATCCAGAAGTATTTTTGGAGGCAGACTTTATTGCTGCAGAGACGTTGTGATAAATGGGCACACTGTTCTTGCGCCAATATTGAAGAAAACGACAGTTTAACCATTTTAATTTGTCCTTCTTGTATATGAAAATAATATCCCCATCCTACCCCACGGGTGGGGCAAGATGGTGCATTTACATGTAATTTTAAAATATTAAATTTTCTTGTTTTTAAAAACGTTTTTCAAAAATTAAATTTTGTATTATATATTACCACATGTCGAAGTTCCTGAGAATAAAAAATTATTGTTTTCATCAAAGTGGTTGCCATCTTATGACTTTTCAAATGTTAACGTTCTCATCTTGCCCCACTTTCCCCTAATAATAAGTAATAGTTTACACATTATCCCCAGTCTTGACACCTGCAAGGTATCAATTACACCTTTAGTAGCTGGAGTAAACCGACAATTATTCGAATCTTAATAACCTAATTATTACTGGTGTGGGTTCCCAGACGAGGTTCAAACTCGAGTAAACCGCGAATTTCTTTCGCGACAGAAGATGTAAACAACGAGACTCGGAACTGTTCGAGTGTGTGTCAAACCATCTGTCAAGATCTTAGCGGAAGACAAACTCCACCATGAGCGCTTATAAACAGGTAGATCATTGACTCGCGAGTCTATAAAATGTTGGCCGAGATAAACCTTTTCGAACAAAAAAGAGGAATTTTTGATAGATGAAAGATGAAAATGATCGTTAAATTCTTAGACGTCAAAAAAATGGTATAAACACCGGCCTGAGTTATGAGTGCAGGTGTTATTGTTTTATAAACAGTCGTCGAGAAGAGTCGACAAAAAGGTATCAAATGGACATCTCGAATCGGACCTTTCCCGCAACCCGAAAAGGTTTCGTGTCGCACCTGGAGACAAAAGAAAGACCAATCGGGAAGCGAGGAATGGGACGACAAACCAATCCGAAATGCGATTAGTGAGGGAAAAACTATAAAAATTGGAACTTTAAGGTCGAAGAAGAGTCTTCGACCTTGAAGCCTCTGGATTAAGCTTACAGTTTTCCTTTATTGTGTCGTGCTACCGCCGATCACCTAGGACGCTGCAGCTTAACACCGAACATCTGCATCGTCCTGCGATCCTTTTCGTCCGCCCGGGCTACGACCGATCACCCGAACTCTCACCGTTTCGAAGGAACGCCGAGACTTTAGAATTGTGTAATATCGATGTTAGCATGAATTCGAACAAATAAACGGTTTTTCTCTTGTTCTTCATTTGCCTCCTTCGCTACCGCCCACATACGCGGTTTCCCTTAGGCTCATTCTGACGCGGGATAAATTGTACTCCCCGTAAAGTCGGCAAACCTTACATTGGGTAATGGACACAATTTTCTAACTGGCCTCCTTAGCTTTCCAGTAGATGTAAATACTGTAACAACTCTTACGGGACTATCACTTCCAAGATGGATCTGTGTAACACGACCAAATTTCCGGTTTGGAAGAAGCTGTTCATTTTTTAATAACACGAGGTCACTAATTTCCAAATTTGGTGAGGAATGATGCCACTTACGACGTTATTGGTGAGTTATCAAATACTCTGCATTCCACCGTCTCCAGAAGTGTGAGACTGTTTGTTGTACTAGGTCCAACGTTTCAATCTAGAAAAAGCTGTATCACTCACATCAAGTTCTGGGATAGCAATCAAGGGTGCATCTACTAGAAAATGACCAGGTGTTAATACCTGCAAGTCATTGGGATCACTTGACATTGGACAAAGGGGGCGGGAGTTTAAGCATGCTTTCACCTGTGTTAACAACGTTACAAACTCTTCGTACGTTAACAATGTAGATCCTATTGATCTCCTTAAATGGAACATTATAGATTTTACGGCAGTTTCCCAAATTCCTCCAAAATGAGGTGCGGCAAAATGAGATGCCCTCACTGGTGGTGAAATGAGCCAATACTCTTGTCTATAAGTGACACATTTTTATAAACTTTCTTCAATTCTTTACTGGCCCTTTTGAAGTTGGAGGCACAGTCACTTATAATTTTAACGGGTTTTCCACGACGTGCAATAAATCTCTTCAGAGCAGCGATAAACGTTGGTGTAGATAAGTCACTGATTAACTCAAGGTAGACAGCGTTTGTGGAAAAACATACAAATATAGCAACATAGCACTTTGAAGACCTAACATCTCTTCCACCTCGTAATTTAAACAAATAAAAATCAGCATAAACTAATCCAGTAACAATGAAGGGCCTACTGGGTTGAATTCTAGGGGCTGGTAAATTACCTATCAGTTGAGAGGCAGTTCTACTCTTCGTTCTTACACAGGTGACACTCCTATGCATAATATTACAAACTACACTTCTTCCGGCCAATAACCAAAACTGCATTCTAAGGACATTCAACAGCAACTCTTGGTTAGCATGTAGGTGAAGACGGTGATAGTAAGTTATGATAAGATTTGTGATATGATTCTTAGAGGGAAGCAGGACTGGATGTCGAGTTTCAGGAATATTGGTATTCTTAATCCGACCTCCCACACGGATAACGCCTTTAACATCCAAAAAGGGGACCAATTAAATTATTCTACTAGGAACGTTAAACTCCTTTCCTAATCTTAAACAAGACATCTCAGTAAAATATGATTGTTGAACATTCTTAATTATTGTCATAATGGCTGCGTTTAGCTCACTGATAGAAAACCATTTAAACGTTCCACTGGAGGGTTGCAGCAATTCTACAGGAACCTCAAACATAAGGATACGACGCGACATAATCGTGACTATGAAGAAAACCTTTTAAAAATCCCATTTTCTTCAACTTTACAGGTTACCGTCGTGTATGTTTTCCTTTCCTCAAGGTAGTAGCGTAGCGTAGTGGGGGAGGCAGGGGCGGCCCGCCCCGGGCTGCACTTTTTAGGGGGCGCAAAATTACGTTTTAGGGGCGACAAAATTTCACAATAAATAATAATAATATCTTTAAGAATTTGAACTATTTTATTTCATATTTTCGTTCACCTACGATTCGGACCGATTAAAATGAGCACGAAATAGTGTTACCATCCTGACAGTCCGGGAATCGACTCGCTGTCCGGAGATGTCGTGCGCAACCTGTCAACCTATCCAAGTATTTCTAGTCGCTAACTGTAACTGATTTAGAACCAGCATGCACTGCACATTATTCTTCGCATCGCAAAATGACATAAGCATGCGTCAGGAACTTCTGTTCGAACAAACCTCACCTGCAGTCCGGGTCAGCGATTTTAAAAAGGTCGCAACACTAGCACGAAATTTTTCATTACTTATTTTGTGACGAAACTGAATTTTAGTCTTTTAAATTGAAATACCTAAATAAGGGGGGGGGGCGAAATTTTCCTCCGCCCCGGGCGGCTGACACCCACGCTACGCCACTGCTTCAAGGTGTACTTCCTCATTATCAAGAACAGATTTCTCATTTTCAGACCAAAGTTTAGGATTATTCTGTCTTAACCATTTTGGTCCATGGAACCAAATCTCACAGTTAAATAATTCAGAGGGAAAAAATCCTCTTGTTGCACAGTCCGCAGGATTATGACTTCCACCAACATGTTGCCACTTCACGGTAGGAATAGTGTGTATTTTCTCGACTCTATTGGCAATAAATGGTACCCAACGAAAAGATTCAGACGAGATCCATGCTAATACAACGGTGGAATATGACCATTCTAATATGTCAAGTATGGAAACATCAAAATATTTCAATACAGTTTGCAATAAATTAGCCAATAGGACTGCAGCACAAAGTTCCAGCCTGGGAAGAGATTGTACTGTACTTTGAGAGGAGCAACCTTGGTTTTGGATGTTAGTAGAGTGCCTTTACGTCACAATTACTTGACATTGTTACTAAATTCGAAAATACTTCTCTTTTGGTATAGCCTACTTTCTCATCTGAGTATGGAATGGAAAATCTAAAACAATCCTCCTGAGGAATCCAACTGATTCTTAAGATCTTAATTCCATATCCTCTTGAAGCTTTACCTACTCAGAAGAGTCTCTTAATTCATTAGGTATCTTCTCTAGTACCAGAGTGTCATTTGAAGTCCATTTGCATAATACAAATCATCCTTTAGTCATCAAGTCTGTTAATTGGTTGACTATCGTCTTACACTTCTCTATGCTTTGTGCATCTGATAACAAGTCATCTACATAAAAATCTCTTATAATAACTTTAGAGGAAAGGGGAAAATTGTCTCCCTCGTCTTCCGCAAGTTGATGAAGCGTCCTTGTAGCCAGAAAGGGTGCTGGGGTTGTGCCGTAGGTAACTGTAACAAGTATATATTCTTGAATTGGATCACTAGCGTCATTTCTCCAAAACACTCTTTGAAAATCTCTATCCGTTTCGTTAATCAACATTTGTCTAAACATCATTATATCAGCAGTAATGACGATGGGAAACGTTTTAAACTTCATCAAAATTAAGAATAACTCTTGTTGAATCCTAGGGCCAACCATTAAAATATCATTCAATGACACTCCTGAAGAAGACTTCGTCGATGCATTAAAGACCACACGTAGCTTTGTAGTTGTTATAGATTCCTTCATAACTGGATGATGCGGAATATAACAGGAAATACCCACGTGAGCCTGACTGATCAATTAGTTCCATGTGGCCTAGGTCTACGTATTCTCGCATGAACTCCCTATACGTGTTCTATCGAGTTTGTATTCTAAAGCCTTAAATCGTTGTAATGCTAACTCCTTAGTATCGCCCAAACACGATGGATTCTGTTTAAAGAGAAGTCTCACCACATAACATCCACTCTTATCCCGGTAATGAGTATTCCGAAAATGATTTTCATATTCTTGATCTAACTTAGACATTCTCCTTACCTCTGGGACAGAGTCCAATGCGCAAAATTTCTCAACTAACTGTTTAGTGGTCAGTTGAATATTATTCACGTAGAATGTAGGTTGGTTTATGGTATTGAGAAAGGTAGTTCAGCAATAATCCATCCGAGTTTGGTGAAAACAGCAAACGGCAGTGTCTCCTTTCTCCTTATTATATCTTTTTTTAACATTGTAAAATAACCATTAACACCCAGTAGAATGTCAACTGGTCTTGTTTCAAAAAAAGAAGGGGGCAACCAGAACTACATCATCAAAATTGTTCAGAAAATGTGAAGAGAGAGAAACATTAGGAATATCCAACGTTATTTTTTTAAATCACGAATGCCTTTGTACTAAATTTCAAGTCGGAACTAAATAAGGGGTAAAGTTCAACTCTATTTCCTTTACGACCTATTCCAGTTACACTTGAAGAATTAAAAATCCAGCACAAGTAGTGGTACTTGGATTTGGTAAATCATATGGCATCGATTAGAAGGTAGGATCACCAGTCAAGGGTGGACTAAATACCTTCCCAGGTTTCAGGGGTGAAGGCACTTCAGAATCCCTATCGATATGTAACATGGTATGATTAATTTACCACACATTCTGCATCTATTTAAACTCACGCAGGTTTCAGCTTGGTGTCGACCAGTAAGGCAATTAAAGCATAGTCTATTCTTTCTTACCATATCTATCTCTCTTACCTTTTCTGAGTGCTTAACTGCATGAACCTTGAATACTTAGATAATGAGTGCTCATTCTTACAAAGAAAGCAAGCATTACTACCAGATACCAACGATATCACCTTTGGAAGTGAAACACTTCTCTTGCCCTTAGATGGTAACTTGATGGTTTGAAGGGTTCTCGCATGATCCTTCAAGAAAGTAAACAAAGTCTCCAGCGTGCCTAGCTCATTTTGCTTTAGGGTACGTTCCTACCAACTCCTAATATTTTTATCGAACTTTTCCGTAAGTTAAGTAAACTATTAACACATCAGAAAACACGGTAATATCCTGATCATAAACACTCAACGATCGGATGAATTCATTTGGAATATCCAAAGCTTGTAATATAGACTGAGATGAACCAGTATTACTCGGGATGTTTATTAATTTCTTAATCAAAGCATTTAACAATTCACGTTTATTAGAAATTCGCTCTCGTAAGAGTTCCATTGCAGATTTATAGTTAGAATCCAATATCGGAAGTAACTGGATAATTTTCAAAGCGTAACCTCTACAGGATGATTTTAAATATTGCAACTTCTGACAATTCGACAGATTAGAAATATTGTCCAAACTAGCCTTAAACAGATCCTAAAACGATAACCAGTCTTCAACATTTCCACTAAAAGCCGGAAAAAAAATTTCGGGACGTTTTACATCCGAAACCTGTGATTTTAAACTATGGGCGTCACTTTTGGCAATCATTCCTTGCTTAGAGTTCTTCCGTTCGACTGTTAACCAGAGATCTTCAAAAGTCTCCTCAATAGATTTCTGTTCCTCTACATACATTTCAATGTCCATATCGTTATATTGAGAAAAAAATCTCGTAAAGTACTTTACATCATGTAATTCAACTCTAAGATATTTAATTTTAGTTCGGAACAGTTGTATTCAAGTATCGTCTGCGACGTGAATACCAAAACCTATCCTCTCCTTAAGCTTGATAGTGTTGAAATTGAAAACATTCTTTTTCGTTAAGGCACACTTATAATCCTCCATTATAAGGAATGAAATTAAAAGGCTAACTCACTTGCTCGAGCGTATTCAATCTATATATATATATATATATATATATATAGACATGTATGTCCCTTTATTTCACTTTTTTGCCAAAACTACACATCGCACGTGAATGGTGTTTGTATGTGGTGATAGCCCCAAGTCTCCATTCGTGCATAGGGGTGGTTGTGTCTCGATAGCTATAAGGGTGAGGGAGATATGAGACTGAAAGTGGTTGAAAGTGGCTTTCTTTTCTGGGAATTTAATTCGAACAAATTCGAACATAAAATTCGAATATTGGTTCGATTATAGAACGATTGTAAACGTTCCAGAAACGTTTAAAATAGTTCGTTTGACTAAACGTAAAAATTGTCTAATTAGTCTGGAAACGGGGGACCTAATTCTTGCATTCTATGAAAACGGGTAAGATTGGCTATAATGTAATTATCTTAATCTTCACTATCGTTACTTTTTGCCCAGCGAAGCGGGTCCTTGCAGCTAGATTCTAGATTACTTAGAAAAACAGTCTTTTATATATAAAAAACAAAAACTATATTACATACAAATGTACGAACAAATAAAAACCCAGCGAAGGGTTTTGCAGCTTGCCTGTTAATAAAAATTAAATCCAAAAGGTGTAAAACTAATGTAGTAGTAAAAGGTTTTCAAAGTTTTCAATCCATAAAAAATCAACTATACATCCGCTACACCACCATCCCTCGACAGACCAAATGTTTATATGAAACAAAATGTAAGATATTGTCATTATAGTAGAAACGTAAAAAAACCTTTTTTGTATTAATAATTTTTCCCTATTAATAACAGTTTATTTACAGTAATAAACTGTTACTAATAGAAAGAAACAGTAATAGACACCTATTAGAAACAGTTATTCGCCTATTACCGAAAAAGTTATCAGTAGGAAAAAGACTTTTTGACGTACCTTTGAGAGTATAGCCTTCACTTAAATTTACCAAAAAATTCTATGTAGATATTTACATTTTTCGTCTGGACGCGATCAAACGTCAAGAACCAGATTTAAACGTTGTTTCGATTTCCTGAAGTTATTCGTCTGTTACTAAAAAATTACCAGTAGGGAAAAGACTTTTTGATGTACCTTTATTTGTGAGTATAGCCATCACTTAAATTTCCCAAAAAATACTATTTAGATATTTAAATTTCTCGTATGGACGTGTTCAAACGTCGTAAACAGGGTTTAAACGATGTCTCCATTTTCTGAAGTTATTCGTCTATTAGTAGTAGTGGTTTGACACATACTGATCACAAAATTAATTTCATGAGTAAATTTCAAATAAAAATTTGTTGAATGGAATTATTTCAGATCACAAAATTAATTTTTTGAATAAATTAC